CCTCAAGCCCTGAAGTGGAGGAGCTGAACTTATGACAGGGAATAGCTTTTTGGATCTGTAAAGGGTACTATACAGTTTCTTCTCCTGACCTACCACCATCACCACCAACAATCAAAAATGTAAGAAGAGAACTGAATGGGAAAAAAGTAAGGAAAACAACTTTACAAATACCCAATCCTTCAACCTTTCTCTGCCAAGGGAAACCTGTTAGTCAACATATTTAAACAATGCATAAGAACAAAAAAATTTCCAGGAAATGAAAGATTTAAGTTCTGTTAGCTATGGAATTTCTGAATCTAATAAGCAAGACAAATAACTAATTAAATAAACACAGAATTCACCATTTATACTAAAGAGGAAAAGAGAGAATAACTGTAACAGAATGCAATTCAAGTCATCAAAGAGTTACTGAGCACTTATCCCTTGCTGGGATCAGGATTAAGGATCTATCATCTGGAGATAGGTCGATACATGTGTCTGCTATAAAGAAGAACAAATGTCATTGAGATAAGACTATTGCCCTGTTGAAGAGTCTCTCCAGGGCTCCCTTTATGTCCCTGTTCCTTAGGCTATAAATGAAGGGATTCAGCAATGGGGTGACCACCGTGTACATCACAGAGGCAATTATGTCCTTATCGCTGGAGGCACTAGACGAGGGGACAAAATACAGTCCAATAATTGTGCCATAATACAGAGACACCACAGAGAGGTGGGAGCCGCAGGTGGACAAGGCTTTCAAGATCCCCTTGGTAGACGGAGTCTTTAGGATGGTGACCCCAATGTGGCCGTAAGAGATCAAGATGCATATTAGTGGTAGAGAAATGACTGCCAATCCCACTGTGAAAATGAGCAGCTCATTGAAGGAGATGTCTGAGCATGAGAGCTTGAGTAGGGCAGCAAGGTCACAGAAGAAATGGGGGATGGTGTTGTCAGCACAAAAGGACAGCTGGGCCAGGGAGAGAGTGTGAGTCAGGGCATTGGTACAGGAGAGGATCCAGCACACAGCTACTAGTAAGGTACACAGTCCCTCTTTCATGACAGTGGTGTAGCGGAGGGGGTGACAGATGGC